CTGTCTGTCTGTCTGTCTGTCTGTCTGTCTGTCTGTCTGTCTGTCTGCCTGTCTGTCTGTCTGTCTGTCTGTCTGTCTATCTATCTATCTATCTATCTATATACACTAGTAGGTTGGAGGCCATCGCTACCGTAGTGGCCGTGTGGCCGGTGGCAAAAGTCGTTTTTACCCGCCCTGGAACTCGGCCATGGACAACTGCATTGACCCAGAAAATATTGCGTAAGGGACAGAATGTCACATACAGTACTTGCATCACATACACTACATTACATTACTTACATAACATTGCATAACAACTCATAACAGTACATAGTACATTGCATTACATACTATGTCACTATGTTCCAAGTTGTTGTTCCAATCCATTGCCTTCTGCACCTCCAACTGGCTGAATAGCAAAGATGAGGCTCGAACCTGTCGTTGTCTGATTGGTTACTTGGAAATGTGCATCGGAAGTAACCAAAAACCATGTGGATCTGTAAGAACTCTGCAAATGCCTCCTTTCCCTCTGTCAAGTTCTGGAAGTCATCCCTCAATTCTGGGATTGGCCTAACAACACTTTCTGAGCAAGTGAAACTCTCTGAGACGACCAGACCAAGTCAATTCCAATCGCCCCAGCCTCGGCGCTTCACCCACTTTGGCAAAGATCGCCTGGCAGCTGAGTTTTGAATACAGATAAGTGCCCAAAACGGGAGGAAATGCGCCTCTGCTGCTATAGGGATGAACGGCGCAAAAAAATGCGCCAAAACATAGACAGCCTGCCAAGCCAACCCTTCAGATCCAAAATTGTCGAAAGAAAGAGAGACTCCAAAAATCCCAGGAAAAGCTTCACAGAAATCCATTGTGCGCTTAATTACCGTCCTCCAGGAGTTTCCGTAGGGAAGCAGCACGAAGCTCTTGCTTCTCTTCTTCCTTTCATCAAATGGTTGTCTGAAACAGGTTCACAAATTTCAATTGGTCACAATATGACATCACTTCTATGGAGTGTGACCTGCAATCTGGACGTTGATGGAGACATGTACAGACTTCTTGGTTTGAACAAAAATGTGGTTCAAGATCTTCGAGGCTGCCTTGCATGGCTTTTGGACACGGGGTTTGCGAATCTCGATGAAGTCATGTTAAGCGCCATCCATGTCATCCTCCACAGCCCACCTTCATCTTCCACGGCTCCAGGTTGGCAATCCACTGGCAGCAGGTGAGTGATGGCTGGGAGCAATTCAAAGGAGGAACCCAGTGCTTGCAGTGCAGTAGAGTACAATGTGAATCTCAGCAAGTGATGAAGAAAGGATGTCAAGGTCCTTGCGCATCAGAATCGACCAGTGAAGGTTGACTGGTGGCTAGACAGTGAAACTGTGGAGAACATGCCAAAGGGCAACGGCAACCAACACAATGCGCAAAGGAAAGACGCAACAAAAACAAATGTTGCAGTTGAAAAGAGTACAAGCTTACATATTGGCTCTGCTTGAACAATGGTCAAAGGAGTCAAATGTCCCATATAATGAACAACCGTGTTCAATAGGAAGTTTCATATGCCCAGAAGGCGCGCTCGGGAAAGGTTCGGTGACTGACCTTGTTTGTGGCTCCAGCAGCTCGCACAGTGAGGTCAGCTGCATCTGACAGGCGATACTTCTCAAATGCCTCAAGAGACAATATAGCATAAGGACAAAGAGACAGATACAAAAACGAAAAAACAAGCATCTCCAGCATCATGCAATTACATCAGAACTCTGATGCAAAGTGCACTTCATCTTTAAATATTTTGAATCAATCTGTTTTATTGAGCTGTCTGTAGGGCGAGCAACGGCCATGTGATATGTGTGCTACTATCTACCACCTGTTCTGTGTCATTCATCGGACCAATCAAGGGCGAGGCATCGTTCACACCGGACTTCAGCTCTTTCAGGTCAAATGGAAGAGGAACCAAATCTTCCTTGGCACACCTCGGTACCTGACAAGTTTCCACAGTTCACCGGGCAAAGGACATGCCAACCATCGAGTGCGCACTTTGCCGCCACAAAGGGAGACAGCGCGATTCACCAAATTTCCCAGGTTGTCACCTGGGCAACAGTTGCATGCCAAGAATGTGGGGAAAATGACAATATTGGTTTGGTGGGTAGTTGTTGAGGTTCGATTGGTTGTTTCAGAAATCGTTGCCGAGACATGAAAGCCGCCATGACAAAGAGTGGAGTCTTGGAGCCAATTTGGAGCCATTTCATCTTTGGTCAGCCGAGCTGCAAAGCTCCGCGTTGTGCATCAAGCGAAGAGAGTCCTGGCACAAAAAGCTTGAGCCTCGCCATCCCAAATTGGATCAGATCAGAAGGTATCAGAAGTTCATAGAAACCGATTTCAGTCAGGATTTGTTTTCCATCGTTGTGTCTGTCATTTGCTATATTTGCATATGGTGCTCAGATGATAAAATGTCTCTCACTGGGGATAGGTGCATGGCAGGTCAAAATCCGAGAGCCTCGTTGAATCTGATATCATCACCATAAGGCGCCTGTCTCAAGTGATGGACTCTTCGAGTAATTCTAGTGAAGGGACCTGCAGAATTGTGCAGAAGTGTGCTGGCCTCACGACACATGTACCACCGCAAAGTATCGCATGGGGCCTTATCTAGCCTCGTACAGCGTGACAATCCGTGACATATACCAAGGCTGGCGAGGTCGGTGAGGCCCCAACATGTCGTGTGGGTCGACCACATTGCCCAAGCTCTTGGACCTGGCAATTCCAATATATCCTGACAAGATACGTGCATGAAAATATGGAGAAAAAGAAGAAACAGGAAGGTGTTTGGGTCCTTTCCGGAAGGCCCCCTTTAAATGGAAACACCTTCCTTCTTTTTCACTCAAGTCACACTTGATTCACTGATTGTCCCAGGGCGGAGGCATTTTTCGTCCATCTGCTCCAGCGATGAACCCGTGCACGACAACACTCTTTGGCAGAGGGATGTCTGGCGAGAGAGTACGAAGTCAATAAAGATCAATGACATGACAACAAATGCACAGCTCCTGCACTCATCAGCATAGCCGGCCAAATCACGGAGTGAAACCAATGAATGTCCTATCGAGCCCAGCGAAGCAGCGCAGTGTTCAACACTGCATTGCACTTTAGAGATCCAAAAACAGTCAGCTTCCGGCCTTGCCCACTACATGCATGTTGGCAGGCCAGAACCGACTGAGAGGTTTCTCAGGGTAGATGCCGTCCTTGCTGAAATTGTGCCAATCGAGTCTGACAGAACTCGGATGCACTGATGTCTGTGACTTTGATTCTTCCCAATGTCTGTGACCCAAGGACCCTGCAACACCGCTCAAGTAGTTGATGAGGGCGTCGAACCAAACATACATCACCTGGCATGTCACGCTGTGGGGATGGATATCTACAGCTTTCAGTGCTGCCGTGTTGGCAATGTCAGCTGACTATTGTGATTTCGGTGCGACCCTGCAAAAAATAGTTTGTTGATGTGCTGTACGTGGGTTGTGCCGGGTGCACTGGAGTGTCGCTTGAGCGACTCGACTTGCCTTCAAGCCTGAGATGGGCCTTGGGCGGTTTGGATCATAGCCATAGCTTGATCTGAAACAAAGAAAGAAAGTTCGTCTCGCTGCTCAAGTTGCTCTCGGCGTGTTTCTTTATGTGCTTTCGGCCCAGGTGCACAGTCCAGCGAAGTGGGACGAGGATAGCCCTTGTGTATCATCAGCATAATTGCCAGGACGTACAGCACTGATGCCCGACTGGCTGGCAAAGGCTAGCAAAGCCCTTTGTTCCGAAGATCATATCCAATGGGGATGCTGCCAGCCAGCCACTACTCTTTGACACTGTATCTCTGGGCTGCTAGGAACCACTTGGGACTCCAGCTTTAAAATGGCCCCTCCTCCACTGGGAATATCATCCTTGAGTTTCCCAATTTGACCCCTGCATGAACGCACGAAACAGGTAGTTATTATGTGTATGAGTGCGGATGAACATGAAGTAACTATTCGTCTACATATGCAGCAAGTGCCAGTGGTCAGACTCCCTGCACCTGAGTGGGTGGTTTCAAGATCAGGTCAGGAAGACATGTTGTTTGCCGTCGACTTTGTCCTCTGGGCATGTAACCTCAGGCGCTGCCATGGAGCTAGGCGCACTCAGGAACCACTGCTCCTTTTTCGCTAACTTGCATCTCATGCCATTTCCCACTGCACCAAACATGCATAGCCCCTCCCGGCTTCGGCGTACAGTGCACAACTTGACAAACGCATGTTTCGTACATATATATATATATATCACAAATCACAAACAACACTCAAGGGCCTGACTCCCCAATCAAAGGTGCCACGACTGATGGATAGATCCCGCAACTGGCAGGTGCAATCAACCAAGCAGTGGAAATGACCTACAATTTTTTGACAAGCACTCAAGAGATCAAGAAAGTAGCTGTTGCAAAAAGCCTGCAAGGACATACAACTGCAATTCTGCGGCCGTTTTGGCATCAGTCACGCTGCGCTCTGATGCCGAAAATTGCATCTACATAGGCCGGCTACGCCCAAGACTCAACCGTGGAGATCTTATCTTGGTAAATCATCAGTGACAGCCTCAGGCATCTGAAATTGTGCAAAAGACAGCACGAAGGCACGGCTTATGTTAAATATATATACATATATATTACACACGTATAAAATCGGATAAAAGGGAAACTGCCTCTTGACCCCTTGGTCGGGAGAAGCCCCACAAAAATTGAGCACTGCCAATATTGAGCATGGACTATGGAACTTGTGCAGCATGTGCTGCATTTGCGAAAAATGCCTCACTGTTTTCTCTCTGTTGTCTGCTTTAAATCCAAGCTGGTACAACTCACACCCTGGCGCTGGGATCAAAGAGATGGAGTAGCAAACACGCAATAGAATAATATATTGTGAAGCCTAACTACAAGCCATAACCAGAACTCTATGCGGCGAGGCAGTATCGTTTGGTGACCACCAGGCACAGTACTTTTTAAAGTTAAAAAAGTGTTGCATCCCCGTTTGCCACCTAAAAATATTTTGTGCTGAAGCTCAAGATCCTCTTCGGCACGCAAGAGCAACACCAATTTCTATAGTAGTCAGCCTAAAGTTATCTGAAAGATTCAAAAAGTAATTGCCCGTGCTCGGAGAGGAAGAAACCTTCTAAGGAAATGTTAAGTGTCTGTCAATCACAATGTACCGCAAATCCAAGCAAGGAACACATTTGCCAAAATGGGAGCGCAAAGCTTCGGCTGCCTTGTAAGCACTGTATAGGCAGCCTCAACCAAGCCGCATCCAAGCGACATAATTGAATGATATTGAATATATAAACAACTGAGATGATTATCCTTGTCATCCCAAGACTTGCAAACACCAAAGTCCAAGAGCTTTTCTTGGTGCTGATTACAACACATCGCAACTTTGCATTCTGCAGGCAAGCTACCCTCGAAGTTGCTTGCTGGAGCAATCGCATCACCGCCTTACAAGCCAGGGGCAAACTAAAGAATGCAGCAGCGAAACCGGTCAATACAAACTGGCACAATGTCTGCCAATCATAACTGGCATGGTGTCAAGCACTGGGATTCTCATCAATGTGTAAAGTCATCAGTCATTCAGCACGTATACAATTTATATATTTGTAGTTTAAAGCCTAGTCTTGAGTCATTCAGCAAAGGCTCGATAAAACATGTAAAAAGAGATGAGATCAGAGCCTTGCAATTTCACATTAAATGACAAGAGTTGAGACATCAAGCTTCTTGCTTTCTGGGTTATTACTTGTTTAAAAAAAATACCAAAAACAATGAATCACGATTTCAAACAACAAAACACAAAAAGTCTGTGCGCAGACTGTTTCAAATGTTTGATATGTTTGTTTTACCCGCGTTCTTTGTTTCATATTTCCCAAAACTTGGATATCTATAGTTTTTGTTTGTAAAATAGTTTTGTCGTCTCATGACCAGAGATTTGAGATGCTGAGCAACAAACAAACAAACAAACAAACAATAGATGAGAAAGGTCGTCATGACAACTGAAATGAACCACTGTCAAGATTCTTGTATGCGACGAAATGTGAGATGAGTGAGCTGGCATGCAGCTGAACCAGAATGAAGTGGAGTGAAATTTTGTGGGTGACACCACTTGAGGCAGCACCACGTGATACAAGAACAAGTGGTGCGGGAAGATTGAGTCAAATCATGTGAACGAGACCACGCTGTGATTTGTCAAATTGGGGCGTGGAACACATACATGCATGTGTCTGAAGTTTGCTGTAAAGTCCTAGGCTCAAGAGAGCCAAGAGACTCTAAAGCGCAAAACCACAAGGCCAACCACTCAGACCTTCAGGAGCTTGAGCCTTACACCGCACAATGAACCAAGAATGAACAGCTCAATTATGCCGTTATGCCAGGCATGGCGGAAGCGCAGAAGCGCTACAAAGATATCCGGGCCTTCATGGTAGTGTATGGGCGTGGCATCATACGGCTGAAGATCTAGACTGATTGATGGTTGGAGCTAAATCGATTTACGTTTGTTTTGCGACATGATGCAATGATGCAGTGATGAATTTAACTGGTTGTTCATAGCTTTGCTACAAAAACAGTTGACAACTAACCGTGGATCCATCCAAAGGCAGAGTGATCAGGAGATCATTAGGACCAGCTTTGTCTGTACGCTGGATCAATTGAGTGAACAATAAACCTGATAGAACCCACGAACCCGAATGCAGTCACTTTGTATAGAAGCGTAGCACTCAAAGCGTTCTTGTTTTCGGAGATGACTCGCAGAGTCATCAACTAAAGCAGCGCCAGCACCTCCCCAGCCGTCTAGACACTCTTTCTTGACACACTTTCCTAGACAATCTTTCTTGACACTTTCTCTTGACACTCTTGCTGGGCACTCTTGCTTGACACACTTGCTTGACACTTTTGCTGGACACTTTTACAGGACATTCTTGCTTGACATTTTTGCTTGACACTCTTGCTGGACACTCTTGCTTGACACTCTTGAAAACAAGCATTTTTCACGAGACTTTCACCAGATACGACAATCAAAGCTTCCAATAACGAGCATTTTCCACGAGACGTTCTCTTGCTAAACAGTCTTGCTTGAAACTCTTTCCTGACACTATTTGCTAGACAATCTTTCTTGACACTTGTTCTCGACACTCTTGCTTGACACTCTTGCTGGTCGCTCTTGCTTCACACTCTTGCTGGACACTCTTGACACGACACTCTTGCATGACACTCTTTCTTGACACTCTTTGCTAGACAATCTTTCTTGACACTTTCTCTTGACACTCTTGCTTGACACTCTTGCTTGACACTCTGCTGGACACTCTTGCTTGACACTCTGCTAGACACTCTTGCTGGACACTCTT